AAAACTGCAGCTTAGGTTTTAAAACTGTTCATCGTTGATATACTGCTTAAACCAAAAGAAGCATTTCTGAAAAGCTGCTTTTCCTCCTGTTGTTTGTGTAACCCAACAAATTTTTGATGTTTCTTTGTAAGGTTCTCCACCTCTTTCTTTTTTTTAGTGCTTTGCCTGGAAAAATATTTCTCTTGCTGTTTGTGTTTTTCATCTGTGTTTTTCTTCTAGAGCCACCTGTTTTCTCCTTTTGTCATTGCATATGTGACATAAAACATGACATACCAATCTGGATTTGTTGCAGGAGGTTGTGCGCACACTGGTGTTCTTGCCTTACTTAAAGTACAAGGTGACAAAAGTGTTCAAAACCTTAGGGGGATCCAGACATCTTGTAGAATTAAACTTCCTTCCTCCTCTTTGCCCCCCCTCCAATGGTATCAGTCAGTAGGTTTTAGTGTAGTAGTTCAGCATTCTTGGAATCTGAAACAATTGAGAAAACGAACTTTGTTTCTTTCTTCTTTTCCTCAGCAACCTGCTACATAGGCTGATTACATCTGATGCTGCTACTGTGTTTGAAAGAGATTTACACACTTAAAAAAAGTGAAAAATGGAGGTTGCGGGTTTGGGCTGTATATTGACAGTGACTTACTTAATTTGATGCCATCTTTTGAAGCTACCTATGCCCAAAGCACGCTTTGAAAAAAAGTCTAGACTATCTGGATAAGGTAACAGTACTATTTTAGTACAAGATCCATCCAAGTTAATGCTGCTTCAGTTGTGCCCTCCACATGGGGTGCTCTGGATTTTCTCATTAAATCAGGGAGTTAAGCTGACTGACGAGTGTTCCCTCGCTTTCTTTTTTTTCCCCCTGCATAATGCCAGCTTGAGTCCTTGAACTTGTCTGGCTGAAGGTTTAAATAAGGAACACTGCAAGGCAGGTGTAAGTATATATATCTGAACAAAAAACATGAAATGCAAAGTTGAAGCAATTCTGAGTTAGGCTTAAACTGTCATGGTAATGGAACCTAAAGTGTTTTCTGCGAACTCCTTCACCATTTTTAATGTCTACTCCAGAGAGAGTTAGTAATAGCACTTAGTCTGGAAATGTAAGCAGTGAGGGGACATGATTTCATTGTGTGGAAAAAAGTATGTAGATAACAGGGACAAAAGTATCTGATTGAACAGAGGGAGCTCAGCCAATACTGAATGAACATAACTGAACCTGTTTGGCATTTCACCGAGGCAGGTCGTTGTCCTCTTGAGATGAACTTGTGGGAAGAGAGGCGCTGGATGTGATCTGCCCAGGGTGTTTGCAGTGGTATCCTCATCCTCGGTCTCCAGCAGCGCAGGGCTGTTGGAGCCTGGCAGGCTGTGCCGTGGTTTTGCTTAGTGAGAATTTAACCTGTGCGACCTATGTGGCGTTGAGAAAAGCATCCCTTGCCTTGGCTAAAATCTACTAACTGTAGAAATCTGGAGTCCACCCGCCATGGAGCTCTTGAGCGTGCATGGTGCTGCAGTGTCACCTGGGCAATTTCTGTGTGTATGGGGAAGTTTTCTCACCCTCAAAGTGGAAGACTTGGGAAACAAAGGAAGCCCAGGAATGCAGTGAGCAAAGCAAGGACAGGACCGGTGAGCTACGGCTCTGGCTTTCATCACCGCTCGCTGCAGTGCCCTGTGTGATTCCGTACCTGTACGTACCTTCCCAGTGTGCTCCCTTACGGCTGGGATGTGGTGGGGCTCCCGGCATCGCTGGTGATGGGCAGCTGGGCTCCTTTGCATTGGGTGGAAGATACCTTCCTGCCCGGAGCACAGGCAAGGTGCTTTTTTGACTGGCAGCTTCAACTGCAGTTTTTTGTGTGTTTCGCCAGCCTAATTGAGATAAATTGTATAGACATAGCGCTTGAGGAATTGAGGACTGAAGTGGGGAAGGCAGTGAGGACGTGCAAAATTAGGGCTGGAAGCAAAACTGGACTGTGGTGTGTTGGAGGTAGGGAGATGGGAGCTTGCTTGTCTGGTGTGGACACAGGTTCTTAGCTGTGCATGGCAAATTGAATTTGGTCTGTAGTTCATTGATGGGAAAAGACGTGCTATAGAGGAAATGTTTTAATTGTTCATAAACTTAAAAGGAAAAAATACCATCCGGTATTGACACACTGACATTTCCCAAGTATGTATCTTCTCAGTTTCCGGGGTTTGAGAAAGCATTTATCCAGATTCATAGAAGGAAAAAAGTCTAATGAAAAGCTGTTGCCTGTTAGTTTAGGAAGTTTGTGATCTGCAAGCACTAGAAGCATGGAGGATCTGCTGGCAAAGTGTCACTATGTATTTACTTTGGTTTCATGTTCTTCCCTCGGCATTTTCTGTAGACCCCTGATAGAAACAGGATGCTAAGCCAGGCAATTTTCTACCTTTTTTGTGAGTTAAGCGCTATACCACAAAACCTCTTAAATTATTTTTATATGCCAGTTTTTTAATGAGAGCATAATTTTTTTAAGACATAAAACTTGACATTGATTCTCATTCTGCTCTTACATGATGCTGTTGAAATTAATGTAATTAGCATTGCCTGTTAGCATGCAGCTTTTTATGGCAGTACAGGCATTAAAACATTAGTGCTCTATATAATCAAATTACTTGGTGTCATACCACTATTAAAGCTTAAAGATTTGATTGATATTCTGTAGGGTGGTTTGGTTTTGTACACCTTTAGATGTTATTGCACATGAAGATATTTCTGCTTGAGAGTTTAAATTAGGATTGCCTTGTACATTACTTTTATAAAGGCAGTTTTATTGCTGTGTACCCATTTGTTTTCTATGATCAGTTTCTCTACCAAGATTATATTAAATCAAGGGTTATCACCTTGAAAATCTCACGGTATTACAGGTTCTGAAATGTTGTTTTTGTGAACCTCTAGTTGCTGGTGTGACCATTTATCAGCAAGAGATTCCAAAAGCAGTTCTATTGCTCCAGTCTCATTGTTTCACTTGCTAATCCTTTTGTCCTCATAATTTTTTTTTAATAACTTGCATTTACTGGGCTTGATTTCAATACTTTGTTTAGTAAGTTTATGCCCATAAAACTTCTCATCTTTTTGATGAGATCTAATGGCAAGCATCTGATAGTTGTGAGCTTTTCTCCATGCTCCTTCCATGTTTTCTAAATCTGAGCTAGATTTCATGTATAAGCATCTACATATGTAAAAATTATCCAGGCAAGTGCTTTTGGAAGTTTGCTGTTTCTTTTATGTGTTTTCCAAGTTTTATTTTGTTTCAATGTGTGTATGTGTGCTTCCCCTTCCTCCCTGTTTTACTGGGGGATATGCTTTTGCATTTGTTGTTTATTGTTGAGTGGAAATACGGACAAATTGGAGAAGAAAGGTTTAACTTTTTTTTTTTTATACTGTCTCAAGCTGATTACATTCAGCATTGAAGGCATCATCTACATCTTTTCCTGTTCAACATCTTGTGTGAGAGCATTTCTCCCTAGGATTACTCTGTTGTTTTGATTCCTTTCATGCATCCAGTCTCTAGGGTTCTTCCTCTCACTACCCCCCAGTCTCTGTGATTATATTCGTTTGGGTTTTGATTAAGTTTCAGGATACTAATGAGGCAGCAGGGAGTAAAAGTGGTTAACAGCAACAAGAATGAAGAGGAATGTCTTGGCTGCATTTCTACATCTTGTGGAAACAACGTGGATTAAAACAAGTTTTGGGATAAGAGAATGCTTATCACTTCCCACTGATTTGTGCCCAGTTTGTGCACTGAATAGGAGCAATTATTTCTCTCAAGCTAATTCTACCTTTCTTCAAACGTGGCTTGTCTACACAGTTCAGTAGTTATCTTTGATTTATTTTTTTTTCTTTCTTAAAAACGCTTTAATGATTCCTTAGATTCTTGGAATAACTTCAGGATGCCTTAAATGCTGTTGTCTTGGAGTCACAACCTCTGCAGTTTTCTTGACTTTCTAGCCATAATAAAAATAACTCCATTATTTGCATTCCCAGTTGTACTGTGAGTACTTTAATTGAACTCCTACCCTTGCGGAGATCATGCTTGGAGCGTGCACCTGTGTCTGATTTGCCCAGTTCTCTTACCGTGTCAGTACATTGCTGAGCCTGGATAGCGTTTAACTGGGAGGAAAAGCTGTATGAGACAAGACAAAATGGTACTGATCACAAATACAGTATGGTTTTGTCCTGAGGATATGGGGCTGGGATTAATTGTACAGCTGCAGGGAAGGGGGTTAATTTGTAGTCCTTACTTTGCCGCTAATTGCTAATGACACCCAGGGCAAGCTGTAGGGTCCTGGATAGATGATGGCAGCTTCAGGATTTTTAATATCAGAGTGTGCTTCTTATTTAGGAAATGCACCTTAGTGCTCTGTAATAAATAGTTTTGTGGGTCTTTCAGTTCTCTAGGTTTATCAAAATGTGTGGAAGGCAAAGGGTGGACATAAAATATTAGTGTTGCTTAGTGTACAAATGTAATTCCTGCTCACTATGTGCTTTGTGTTATGATCTCATTACCTTGAAGTTAATTCCATAGTGCTTAAGTGTCTCAGGCTCAAGAAATGAGCTATTCCAGGAGGAATTACCTGCAGTTAACAAACTGAGAATCCAAAGCAGTTTAAGTGTACACCGTTGTAAATAAGAGCAGAAGTGGACCTGTGATTCCCAGAAGCAGACGGGTACATTCAGGAGAGTCTGTACAGACTCTTTTTTGGAGGATTGTATGAAAAGTTGTTTCCTTCCGTTACATTCCAGCTTTTACCTGTTTATTAGTCTCAGTCATCTCTCTGAAATTGTTGCTTTGTAAGAATTTGAAGCACTCTTGTTAATGCTGACATGCACAAGCATTGATCCCCAAACCTGCAATGGACATTATGGGCTTGAAGTATTTGCTTAAAACATTCAAATACAAGTGGAGCTGGTGGTACCGAAAGTTGTTTGTTCTGGTGTGTTGCTGCTGGTCCTGTTCTTCCTTGTCTTACTCTTTTCTTTCTCATTACAGGTCTTGATGCAGAGTTGTCCTACGTGAGGAATGATGTGGTTAATCACTACGCATTGTCCTTCAATCTCTTGGTACCCAGCGAGACCAACAGTCTTCACTTCAGCTGGCACGCTAAATCCAAGGTAAGCAGGCAGAACTCCTGTGTTTGAGTATGTGATACATGATCTGTATTGCTTAGTGAATACCCACTATCAAAATTTAATGCATTTTTTCTTTGCAAAAATTAGCATATGCTCGGTGCGAAATAATTATTTATATGATTGCAGGCAGTAAGTTAAGATGATATGTATCCAAACTGTTCCCTTCTTGTTTTAGAAAGGTTAAGCCCTTCTTTCAATCTATTTTGTACTTCTTGTTTCTGGCAAGCTGTGGAATCTCTTCTGGTGGTGCATTGTACACACAGAAGGGGCAGCCATGAACTGAAACCTCTGGAAATCAAATGTAGAGCGATTGTGTTTTAGAGATTTCTAGACACGTGTCTGGAGATTAGAGGAACCTATGGAGGTAGCATCTAGCATGCTATTACCGAGCCCCAGTTAAATGAAAGGGATTTTTATTTCACTTAATTGCCATGGCTGGAGCATGCAGCAACAGCTGTCATAAAGATTGCGTATGCTTTTACATTTTGAAGGAATTCCAGTTACTTAACAATTTACTTTGGATGTAAAATGATCTTTTTAGTCTCTGCCAGATGTTCATTCTTTTTTTTTTTAATTTGAGTGATGGTTATTCTGTCACTAGGTAGGAAAGACTGCACTAGGGACAGAACTATTTAACAACTCCACCAGTGCAATTTCTGAAGATTCCTTGTGCTAGCATTTTTCCCTTTGAGGTGTAACTTCTTAAGAAATGTGAATTTTGGCCTGCAACAGTGTTGGCAGAGTGCAAGCCAGCCCTTCTGCTTGATACCACATTCCCCCTTCACAGGCAGTTCAGTAACTTGCCATTTGAGTAGGATCTTTGAAGGACTTTCCTTGTTACAACTTCAGCCATGAGCTACCTGCATCCCTGTCACTGCCCTGAGTTTTATTAGGTCTGTCTGTGAATTTTGAATAGATTTTTTTGAGCTGGTGTGCTCCTGCTTCCGTTACTGTGGTTGCACCACTCCCAGCATCTTCTGTGGTAACTTTGTAGGATGGGTCAGTGCACTTTATAGGAGCTCAGAAACTGGGTTATATTTCTGCCCTTGTCATCTTGACTGAAGAATAAATTGGTAACATCAATGCATCCTATTATGCTTTAGAAAGGGGAAAGAAAAACTAATGGGGTAAACAGTAAGACAAAATGCATTCAGCTGAGTGTGGAGGGAAAGGATGGGTTTCCAACAGGAGCTTATGACTTAGTTACAATAGGTCCTGTACTTTTTTTGAATGAGTATTTGCAGAATCAGCTTCCTAAGTGGAAACAAAATCTTGACTATAGTTGAATAAACTGTAGGCAATTTTGGCTATTTAGTTTATTAAACTGACTAGAAGACGGGAAATTTTTAAAATTCCTATAGTTTTAACAAACTGGCTTTTGAACAAATAGGTTTAAAAGTATCAGCAAGTGAGGTTTGCGGTGTTTTCTTTTAACAAAGCATTTTAAATTCTGCCCCAGACTTTTAAGAATTATGTTGAGTAGCTTCTATTTTGTCTTTTTTCATTTGAACTGTCATAGAAGTCTGCTATTTGGAAACCTTGAATTTGGCTACCTAAAATCACTAGCATTCTTTGAAAATAAAATACAGTTTTTTAATTTCAAGAATACTTATGAAAAGGTACATAGCATTTCTTTTTACTACTGTAGTGGTTTCTTATGTGTTTTCTGTCTCCCAACTATTGTTACAGGTTGAATATAAACTGGGATTTCAGGTAGATAATCCCATGGCTATGGCTATGCCCCAGGCCAACATTTCTCTACAAGGAGAAGTTCCTCGCACCCTTTCAGGTAAGCTCCCCAGCCCTGAAAGCGCACAGCTAGTGCTGACGCTAATAACGCTTTCTGATGGTGCTTTATTTTTTCCAAAATGTGTGTGGTGTTGCATAAGAGCATAATTTTTCTCTATTAAATGTAATATACTTAGAGGTCTTCTGCAATAGTTACGACATTGCTAAAAGGGTGTTATAGATTGAGACTCTTAGTCTGAGAGTAATATTTTTTTGCCTCTTGTTCAGTGGAGGATAGAGATGTTCCTGGAAAGGAAACGTGACATTTTGAATGTATATGTACACACGTAAGGTTCCCGTTCTCTTTCCAAAATAATAATTAACAATTAATAAGCAATTAATTTCTCTAGCCTATAGAGATGACATTTCAAGATGTGGGAGTTAATACATTGTAGTGTTTATGGTAAGTGTAAAACTGATAAAACTATTTTGAATATATGCTAGCTCCTCCACAAAATTTCTGTTGCAGGAAATATGCAAGTGATCATCATTCACGCTTGATCAAGTATGGTTCCTCACTGTCTTGCCCTCCGTTAGATACTCAAGGGGCAATAAAATATGTATTTTGGTTGTGTACCACTTTTTTTGTGAAAGCAGACAATGCTGGGGAATCAGGCTTGTTGTGTCTTCTCTGTTGGCATAAATAATACTGGTATAGAAGCTAAAAGTAAATAATGTCATATTAGTTTAAGTTTTGATTCCAGGCAGATTTGCAGAGACCAAAATATTTAAACTTAATGGTTGTGAAAAAAGCTAACCTTCGTAGCAGTTGAAAAAGCAATGAGGAGAACGAAATTTTCTGGGTTTCTCTGATGCTGGAGGTTTCTCTTGTGACAGCACTTTAAATCCAAAGCTAATGGGTGGCTAATGGGCATTTATCCACACATCCAGTTTTAGTGTTGTAAACTTTTAATATAGCTCACATAAATTAATTTAAAATCTATTCACTTTAATATTTCAATAGTTGTCTGAAATTCCAAGGCATGAAAACTAAAACAGTATCTCTTAATAGCAAGTTCTTTAAAAATGTACGTTATAAACGTAATTTAAAAAGACACTTATAGTTTAAAAGTTCTTTCAACACGATGTCTGAAAAGTGCTCAAATTTAATTGTAAAGCCTGTTTGTTGTCTGTTTGCAGTGTTTCGTGTCGAACTCTCCTGCGCCGGCAGAATCGACTCTGAGGTCACAATATTAATGCAGCTCAACTTGACAATAAATTCATCAAAAAACATCACAGTTTTAAATTTCAAACGAAGGAAAATGTGCTACAAAAGTAAGACATTAAGTTTCAAATGTTAAAAAGCTTTTAGTATGAAAAAGGAGTGGGAAGGTGTATGATCCAGGACATGAGTAACAGTTCCTGAGAGTGAATGTTGGAGAGGATAGGAAGAAACCAGGTAAAATCTTGCCTTTCAGAGACGAATGGGGACTTTTGGTAAAAGCAGAAGCTGACGAATGCACAAATACCCCAACTGTCCTGCTGCACTGGTTGACCTTTTTACGTATATAGCAAAAAGCATTTTCTCTCTTGTGCTTGGAAGGAGGAAACTTCTCAAAACTCCAGCAGTCTGAGTATTCAAAGCATTCTAAGAATTACCGACAAAATCTACAGTTTTTAAATTGTGATAAACTTCAAATGGGCTATTTAGTGAGTGTAAGTAGGTGTTAGTCTTTCAGACTTGGAGAACAAAATGATCTCTGTAGCTAATGCAGACTTCAGAAATCCCAGATCAACTCTTCTGTGTTTTGACTTGGGAATCTGCCAGCACAATTTATTCTGGGATTGTTGTTATCTCCTGTTGCTGCTTCCTAGAAGTATTTTCATAAGCATCAGTAGAAGATGATTTTTGGGAATCCCAAGAACTGTACCTTTCTTAAAAATGATTGTGATGTCCTGTCCTCAGGCAGCATTTGAGGATGGCCACCTCTTTATTTACCTGCTCCTCCTGGCTCTGTTCAGTTTACTTGGAGCCTTTGAGGACAGTGGTTGGCTTTTCAGAGGAGAGTTTGTCACTTCTCTTAAGTATGTATGTCTAAGGATGAACTTCTGGAAGGTGTGGATGAAGGAGTTAGCATGGCTTTTTAGCACATGATGTTGCGATACTTAGGTTCCTTGCATTGATGTTACGGAAGATCGTTCTTAATTTGAAGAGTTTCTCTAGTGAAAAAGGAGGTCTGGCTGATGATGTTGACATTTTTACCTTTTTTTCATGTTTTCCTATGTACTTTTTCAAATGTTCTAACTGAAGGAAGTCAGCACTGCTTATGTGTTCATAGCTTATTGAGCTGCTGAATGAGCAGAGGAGGTTCCTGTAGGCACTACATGGTTATCAGGGAGTGTGAGACAAGAGCTGATTCCTAAATTATGCAGAAGCATTCTTACAGAGATCATGTTTCTGTGAGCTCATAAGAATGTCAAGACTTTTTTGATGTGTGTTGGTAGGTATAGAGCATCCGGGGATTTCTCATTTAATTTAGTGCGTAAGTTAAAAATATGCAGCCACTTGCGTTTGTAATAGTGCCTCCTAAAGTTTAAAAAAGAAAAAAATAAATTCTCAGGTTTTCCCTCCCCCTTCCCCAGGTTACTTTTTCACAAGTTTGCCAGACTGAACTGGCGTACAAGGAGTCGGAAGGGGCTGTGCTGGAGAGGAAGCAGCTCTTCAGAGCTGGGAGCAGGAAGGGGGATGTGCAAGCGGGATTGCCTGGGCAGCTACAGAAATCCCTTATTGCCTCAGCTGCATGCGTATCCTCAGTGAGCTTCACCTGAAGTCATCTCACAGCCTGCTTGCCCTTGATTTGCACTCTTCCTTAGCGACCAGACTTGTAGTAAGCTTAATGAAGATTTGTCCCATTTCTAAAGGACAATTTTCACCCACAAACCTCAGTATTGTCCTTGTGCCTTTTGTTCCACTTTTATGAGTATTTAAATAGGCGTTACCTTTTTTGTCCTTCAGTTTTAAAACACCCACGACTGTAGCTAATCAGCTGAGAAGGCACAGTGCCTATGGCTGCATCTCTAACTTTTTCCTAGGATGAGGAGAATTAGGTCAGGGTAGTATTGAGTGAACATATGCAAGAAATTATTTGCTCTCCTGTAGTAACTGATTCTGTGAGGTCTTTGTTTAGCGTTTCAGCATACACTCACGTATTTTTGCACCTCCTCTTTCTACTGTCTGCTGCTTTGGACTTTGGTGGACAAGCCAGAGGGTTTTTTAGAGGTAGGTGGATTCAGTGGGTTCAAGCATGGCCTCAATGGACGTATGTATCAGTTGTGAAATATATCTGACTCGTGTCTTAAAGATGTGCGATTTTTTTTATACAGTGACTAGATATTTAAAATGGAAATGTAGAGATAACTGTAGTCCTTAAGTCAACTCGCCTATTTGGAAAAGCAGGTTTGTTTTTCCATACGTGAGGCAGTTGGCTTCCTTTGAAGGACTATAATAATCAATGTGTAGGAAGCTTAATGTTTTTCTCTCATCTGTTTAGAGCTTGAACCAGAAGTAAAATCGCCAACATCTGACAAAAACAGCAGCAAGGCTATCTGTAAGTAATTCTGAGTGTACAACTTACTTTGGGTGTGAAAAATGACAAACTTGTGATGTTCTTTCTGTTTCCATAGCATTCCCTGTGAGAAAACACTCCCTTGGGTAGTTTGGACTATGCCCAGTATTTTACTGTATTTTTTGTAACTAATTATTTTAACTGTGAATAAATAATAGCGGAGAGGAAAAAAAACCTATTCTAAGTCTCTGAAAAACTTTTTTTTTAATCACATCTTAGGGGCTGATGACTCTGATCTATTTTCTTGTCTTTAGGACCTGTCTGGTTGTCTCTTTTGTCTTGTCAGTCTTGAATGAATTGGATGAGGTGGTTTCTTTTACTCGCTCCTTTTCCATCTGGAAATATCATCAACTGCCAGTGCTCAGCCTCTGTGGCACCCGAGACATAAACAATTTTGCCAAAATGCTTTTTGAAAGCGGAGCATGTTGCTCTGTTTTCTCTTTACCACCTGCTGTCTCTTCCAGGGTGGTTGTTCTCCATGATGCATCGTGTAAAACTGGGAATGTCTGGGGCTACCACCTCCCCCTGCCGCCAGTCCCTCTGCCCATGGAGCTGTCAGTGCCAGCTGAAGGCCAGTGCAGCAGACAGCCCTCCAGTGCCGAAGTGCAGCAGCACAGAATTTTACCCTAAATTATTACAATTGAGATTCTTTTGAGAGAGAGGATTGACTGCACTGTTAACACTGCTGCGTTTGGGTGCGGGGCAGGGTGCTGTAATCCCCCCATCTTAGCCTAAAATCAGGGCGAGAAGCTGTAGTTGTGTGCTCTGGTACTTTCGGTCAGCAAGTAATCACTGCCAGCACCCTGCATCTAGGTGTCACTAATTTTATTTCCTGTATTGGTGCATGTCCTGGCGTGCAGGTGACTCCTGCTCTGCCAGCCCCAACTAGCGAGTCCTTGCCCCTTGCTGCATTGGGGCTCAGCTGAGCCGGAGGCTGGGTTTGCCTGCGCTCCTGCTGTGTTTGCAGCACGGGAGCTGCAGAGGAGAGTTGAAGGCTTGTGTGAGGTAGAACCAGCAAGACCATTTTGGGAGATTCCTGGCTAGCTTATATCCTTCTATAGGAACCCTCCTTTTGTCCCAGTAAATAAATGGAGGCATTGAGTGGCTTCCTGGGCCTGCCCTGCTTTGCTGCAGCAGGAACTGTGGTGCCCACTCTTCTGGGGCTTACCATGGTCTGTCTCTGCCGGCTGGCTCCTGCTCCTGCCGGATGTGGATGGCAGGGCACCTGGGACAAGTCTGGGGACAACAGCACTGCCTTTCTGCCATGTCAGCTTGCAGAGAACTAATGAAATATTGTTTGTTTTTTCTTTTGTTTTCTGGGGTGTTTTTTTTTGTTTGGGTTTTTTTTCTTTTTGAGAAAGGTTCGCTAACTTCTCACCTTTTTATTTCAGTCGATCCAGTAAATGCAGCTCCCACCACTTCTACCCGTGTGTTTTATATCAGTGTAGGCGTGTGCTGTGCTGTTATATTCCTGGTGGCAATAATATTAGCTGTCTTGCATCTCCACAGCATGAAAAGGATAGAGTTGGATGACAGGTATGTATTCAAGCTTTTCCCAGTGCATTTTTGAGACACATTTACTCAGATTTGCGGGAGTTCTGGTCTCAAAATGAACACTCTGTAGTAGCCTGCAATTTCTGCTCTTGATGTCAAGCTGTAGCAATTACTACCTGGGTGGAGTTGGGGTGAGTGCTGTATGGCAGAAAGGCAGAAGTTGCAGGTGCTCTGCTGTTTATGGGGTGGGAGGCTTGTGGCTGTTGGGTTTTTGCCAGAATAGTTGCATGGAGGACACACAGTGGGCAAATTTGGGCAGAATCAGATTTACAGGGATTGTCAGGATTGAAGAAAAATTTGGTAGATAACTGGGCACACTGAAAATACTTGTTTCTTACTGATTTCTACAGGAGATTGAATTTCAGTTTTCTCTACTTTTGATTGATTTACCAGTATTCACTTTGGCCTTAGGGTAAAGTCTGGGGATTACAACTGGTTGGTTATAAAGCTGAAAGGGCAGCTCTCTCCTTAACATATTTTCAATCCAGAAAAAACAAATTGGCACATGCATGTAGAAAGGACTTGTAACGTGAACCCCAGGGCAATATGGTCAGCTCCCTGAGGGGGGATTAAACACCGAGGTGGAAGGGAGGCTGAAAAAGGCAGGTGGACTGAGGCTCTGCTGAGGCAGTGGGAACAAGCTGCATCAGGTGCAACTGTTCAGAAGTGTGCAGCGTTGAAACCGAATACTTCAGAGAACAGTCGGGCTCATGGGTGGTCACCCCTGTTGAAAGGATATCTTGAACAGTTTCTGTTCCTGCCTCTCGGAGTAGCTCTATCTTTTCATCTTCCTCTCTAGCCATTCATCTGTTTCTTTTCTGTTTTTCTTTCTGCCATTTACTCCTCTGGTGTCCCCAGACCACTTGGGTTTTGGGGAAGGGTGTGTCAGTGTAGTAAGTGATAATGGTTTCTCAAGGCCTGGTTATCTAACCAAATGCCTTGTCAGCTTTCCTCAATTCGTTTGTGCCTAATATAGTCTACTGGGGGGTTTTAATCAATAGAAGGTGTTGAAGGCTGCGTAGCTTGCTTTGGTTCAGAAGGGAAAAGTGCCACATTTATAGAGTCTGTGAATGGTGTCATCTACGGGTTTTTGAGAGACTGTCTCAGCCTAGCAGTGTGGTCAAATATCCTTTCATCCGCTCCATTGTATTTGGTTTCTGTGGAGATACAAGCTAAAATTTCATCTGATGTCAATACTCTGTGATTTGCAGGTATTAAAGTATTTGCTCTAAATCAATATATGGCCTTCTGATCATTGCTGTGAAGTTAGTACATGTAGTGAGATTTAGTTCTTCAGAGAGCCACGTGATGTCTTGGTCTTTGAGCCCAAAGGTGCCTAACCTGATAAAACCTTGGATGGGCTCCGGGGCAAGAGCTGTGGTCAACTAGTGTCGTAGCAAAGGTGTAACAGAGGGAAAACGTGCCCAAAAATCCAGATCTGTGGAGTTTTGTTTTCAGAGCAGGCAGGAGCCAGCAGACACAGGGCAGTGAAGTTTCAGTGCTTGGTTGAGAAACAGGTTCAGTGTTGTAATTTAGCCTCAATGAGATGCACTAGCATGATGGATGATCAGTGACTGCTTAATGTAGCAACTAGGCGGGGAACTTGTGAGAGAAGAAACAACTTCTGATTTGGTTTTGAATAGCATGCTCAAAACGTTGCTGTAAAGAGGTTCTGAATCGAAGATAACGTCATAAGGGTTAACGACCTCCCAGGAGCAACAGAGGCTGAAAAACCCACTGCTGTTGCTCTTCATTTCAAAATCCAGACCTAAATAAAAGTGAGGAAGGTTGTTAAATGGAAGCTAAAACCAGGCAGCTGAGTTTACAGGCTGCACATGGACTGTTTAAGAACGTTGTATTGAAAGTTCAGAGCAAGTGCTTGCATACCTCCCATCAAAGGCACTTGAAAAAGGGCCAAAGGAAGTTGGCATGGCTTAACAGCAGGATAATGGAGGTTATTAAAAGCAAGACAACATCGTTCAAAAGCTGGTGTGTAGTGTGCAAGTGAGAAAACTAAGAAAGCTTATAAACATGAGCAAATGAAACCGAAAAAAACCAGAATGAAGCCAACTAAAAAACTCGTTAATCAGACCTGCAACAGGCGTAAAAAGAAGAATTCGTTTTCCAAACTTGCCTGCAGCAGGAAGCCAGCCAAAGAAATCTGTTGGGCTAGTAGGTGATCAGGTTACAAAAGGAGTTTCCAGCCGTAGCAGGGAAATGAAATGCAAGTTCCGCATTGGTGTTTGATGTGGTGACCGTGCCAGGACACTTCTTTCGGGGGAACTTGCTGGAGAGTGGATCATACTGACACAGCTTGTGTGAGCAGCTAAAATAAGTGTTAAGAAGTTGCCAGCACCAGGGACTATTGATTCAAAACCTCTAAAGGAAGTGAAGGTGGAGTAGCTAGAGCATCAACAGTGGCTTTTAACCTTGTACTAAAAACTATGCTGAAACCCTATGCCTGGAAGACAGTGAATGTGGGAGCAACTTTAAAAAAGGTTTCCAGAGAGGGATCGAGGGCGGCTATAAATCAGTAAGCCTGACGTTTGTATTGTAAGAATGAGTAGATTCTGTTCTAAAGAAAGCAGTCAGTAGGTGCACCTGTGATTGTAGTATAATGGGGAAGAGTTCACTTGGCTTTCTTTTTATTAAAGGAAGTCTTGTTTCAAAACTAACAGTGGTCTTTGAGAGCATCACCAAGCATGTCTAAAAATCCTACAAGGATGGCTATCACTGCTTGGTCAGGGCTCAATAGCAGCCCAAGAAGCAAACGGAATATTGATTATTTGTCAAGGCAGAGGGTTCTATCCAAAACCAATCTCTTCTTTGTTCTCCTGATAGTCAGCACAAGTGGAGAAGCTTTTTAAGTTTCAAAAAAAGGGGAGGGGATATTTCTGTGTCTTTGGGAGGGAGATCAAAAAAGCTTCTTCCAGCCCTGCCATCTGACTAACGGGTACTGCCTTTGCCTGCAAACTTCCTCACCTCTTCTTAGGCCATTACAGCTACAACAACTGTTTTTGTAGGATTTTGTCTGAGGATGAGACAGAAAATATCCTGCTATGGTTTAAGTTATGGTTTCCCAGTCTCTTGAATCCTACATGCAGCTATGGTCCTGGTACCCAAAGGAAACATCTCAAAGGCACATTGTAGGTGGCCCTGGATATCCTTAGAGAGAAGAATGGCAAAGTAGGCTGGGGCAGTTTGGTCTGTAAAAGAAAGCTGAGATGGGTACAGTGATACAGGGCTGTGGTGGGTTAGCCCTTGGCTCGG